TATATATATATATGAAAGTTGTGCGAATAAGATTTATTTAATAACACATTTTTGTCGTTAATTTATTTTATTTGTTATTATTTTATTGTTAAAAATTAAAATTTAAAAAATGATAAAAATCTAAATAAATTCTTTAAATATTCAAAGTAACTTACACAAAGTTTCATTGCGATTCACTGATGTTACAAAGATACCCATGTAACATGCAATATTATCACACTATGTTATTACAATTATCTTGTTGAGCTGACATTGCATATTACATATACGTTACATATACATTGTGTTTACTGGGTATAAAACAAATAAATAAATTATTCTATCAATAAATCAATAAATTTGTTTATTTACTGGGCTGCAACTAGTTTATGCATCGCATTGCAATTCTATACATAAATAATCTTGAATACATTATGTATTTATATTAAAATATTGAGATTTTTGTCATTTGTGTAATCTGTAAATAGATCACAAAACTCTTAATAAATTTTAAGTACTTCAAAAATGATATTTAATTGATACTTAATCCTTAAATGCCACCACAGTAAGAAATGATAATAAACTCTATGTCGAATCGACATCGATTTGATGATTTCGACATCGATTCGATGTCGATTCCATTATCCATTATTTCTCACTGGGATCCAAAAGACCCCAAGGCTTTTTCAATCATATATATTTTATAATCCCGCTATAAATCGAACTTCTGGCTTCATTTAATTAGTTTAGATTCTCAACTACCAGTCGAAAAGTTCGCGGCAAGTCGGTCTCTGTATAGCAACTGAACAGGAACGACGCATTTCGAAGTGAACACCCCAGTGTGTCATTTACGTTGTGCAAAGTGAAAATCGAAGTGATTTTTTATTCACGTTTTTGTGTAAATTTCTTCATTTTTAATTGTAAATGTTACTGTGCACGCTATAAAATTTTCTTAACGTTGTAATTATAATTTTTTCACGAATAATTAGATGGAGTATAATTCGTAGAGATGCCCCGGATCGTAAAATTACCGGATGTCGAATATCCGGACAGAATGTAACATCGGATATCCAGTATCCGCTCGGATATCCGAGAAGGCGATTTCTTCGAGTTGGATATCGAGTTGGACATTTTCTGGATACCCGAATTCGGAGAAAGTGGCTTAAAAAAAAATCCTTTAGAGAAAAAGATTGTAATTTTGCTATTACATAAATATGCATACTTGTTTCTAAAACATTTGTGTGTATAAGAAAGAAAAAATCAACAATTTAATGATATCAAATACAACCGGATATATTCCCAGATACTAATGATATCCGGCTATCCGTTCAGATGGTAAAACAGTGCCAGATAATATCGGATACCGGATACTTTCCGGATATCCCGGTGCATCCCTAATAATTTGTCTTCATGTCACCTTTTTTAGAATATCCAGTGTCGGACTTAGCTTTATCTAAAAAATACTATTTTAATAGTACAATCCTAAATTTTTAACGAAAAATATTAAAAATTAAAAAAAATATATAGCTTATTTGTTTAAAAAGAGTATGCTTCTTAAATTTTAATTAATTTTTTTTAGTATATTTATAGTAAAATTTCACAATACTTACATCTTTTTTTAGAAACTCTCTTTGAATCCTAACAAATTTTCAAAGCAAAATATTGAAAACTCTAGGAATAATATACATTTTTTCACGCTGGGATCCAATTAACCCTGTGTGGTATTTAAGGATTAAACAAATTGATTATGTCGATATAATAAATTTAAATATTATTTAAGTATCAATCTAATATATATTTAAATTTTTATAGTACTAGAAATGGCTAAAATCTCTTTGGTAATATTTCAAAAAGATTGCAAATTCCTTCTATGACAACAACAAGATTTCATGTGCAAGAATCACGGACATTTTATTTCAGAGCTGTTTCAGAAATGTTGCAAACATATTTTGTAATTTTTATGAAATGTTTTACTTTTCAGTTGAAATATTTCTAAGATATTTCTGAAAACTTTCGATGTATGAGTTGATTATTCAAATATAGCAAATCTATATGAGTTTGGCATTATTATGAGATTTACACTGGGAATGTTTCTTCTAAGTAAAACTATTCTATTTTGTCAATGTTTCTTAAAAATTGACGAGTATTTTACCGTATAAAACTTTTATAATAAAATTTTTATGATAAAAGTAGTGTTTATATGTATAATAAAATGCGTAATTCTATCCTTTTGTTTGAAACATTTTTTATGGAACATATTTTTCAAGATATTCAGGGGTACTTTTTATATATTAGTGTGTGTCTTAAAAACGCATACAAATGTCAAAACAACGAATAGTAAAAGAACAAAACTAGCAGTCTGCTTTTTTTTCTTTCTATCACACGCAATATCGACATGCAATGTAGAAAACATATAATATATACTTTATCTATTTATGTCAAGAGATTTGATTACAAGTTCATGATGTACTGTCAAATACTATTGTGACAAAGTGTCATTTATGTCAAATAAAATAAATAAGCTCTATGAGACAAAAAAAGCCGGGAATCATATCAAATTATTACACACCTTTTTTATCCTTAATTATAATTAAAACTGTCAAACTATAAAACTGTGTATCCATCTGAAAAATTGATTTAAGCAAAACCTTTTTCGCATTTATCGTAATCATTTTCGTACATATATTTTTGCTTATACTAGTATATTTAATCATAAATTCGAGCTGTCAAATAAGAGAGATACTAGTTGGGCTGATAATGAAAGAGAAGGATGGTGATCTTGGAGATAAAGCCGATAAAAGTAGGATTGATATCGATAAACCACTTTGGAACCAGGACACGTACTTCGGAAGATGGATGCATTACACCTTCATCACCGACTGCCGCACGATACTCGTAAGATACTCCAAAGAACAAATTATGCGAAGCAAAAAAACTCTGCGAAGATTATAAATTTGTACAGTTTTCTCTCCTTCTTTTTCTGAATTAGGTTCTTTATCAACTTAATTAGTAAAATTTTCAATTTTGAGAAAATCATTTATTGTATAAAAGATTATTTAAAAAATTCCAAATGTAAAAAATACAGCTATTAATTTTTAAAAAATTAATATTATTATTAATATCAATATTATTATATTTATTCTTATTTATTAATGTGTGAGGTCAACGCACAATATTATTTCGTTCTATTTATCAGGGCCAGAAAGGAACCAGAGGATCTACAGAGAGAAGACATAATCTATGCAAAGAAGCTCAGGGACAGCTCCTTTCATCCCGATAATGGCGAATTCATGCATGTGATAGGAAGAATGTCCTTCCCGCTTCTATCGCCCTCACCACTGCCATGTTGACCTTCTACAAGTTAACTTTATACAAATAATAAATAATGCCTCCCACGTTCACAAATTTCCGATCAATTCTCATTTGATTTTCTATTTTTATCGTCCACTATATTTCGGTCGGATCCGCCTTCAGCATGCCAACTAGTTAATGCGTTTGTTAATTACACCAATCGAAACGCGATGAGTGATGATCCGCAGAATATCGATGTTATCCAGCAGGCGTTTATACTCGCCACTGCAGCAAGTTGCGCGGCTGCTTTGGGATTTAGGAAACTATTTTCCGGCAGAGGACCTCTCTTTACAGTTAATTCATTTTAAATCTGATTTTTTATTCCATCCTTTCCCGATTTTTCTAATTTCATTTAAATACAGACATTCAAAAGACGTAATTGATAAACTATTTTGAATCGTCCTACATTCAAAATAACTACTACTGATAAAACTGTAACGTCAAAAATTTAATATAATTCGTGACCTCAAGACTATCGAATATTCCATACAATTGTCATTTGTTGAGAATTTGAATATTTTTATTGTAAATATCAAAAAGTATAATTATAATCCAAAAATGAAAAAAGTCAATTATCTTCCTCGTAGAGATTCGTTCCGTTTTGTGCGGTTGCTGTCGGCAATATGGTAAATCTCCTCATCCTCGTTTGCCTGAGGCAACGAGAGATCGTGCGGGGTATTCCAATATTCGCCAAGAACGGTGACGAAGTGTGCATCATGAAATCGCAAGTAGCCGTCGTCAAGGGTATTTCTGAATGCATCTTCACAAGGATAATAATGGCTGCGCCCGGAATGCTGATGATTCCAGTCATTACGCAACGAATGCAATCATATAGGTTCTACAAACTTCATCCATGGATCACTTTTCCCGTCGAAATCGGTTTATGCACACTCTGGTAATTTTGAGAGATGACGTTGCGCAAATCCGCACAATATAATAAAATATTGATTAATTACTTTCGGCGCGTTAAGTATTTTAATAAATATTTTCTCTTTTTTTCAGTTTGTTAATCATGATCCCTTCGGCACTCGCCATTTTCCCGCAGGAAAAGGATTTAAATTAATTCTGAATATCTTTGAATAATAAAAAAATTAATTTTTTTAAATCAGAAACGTATAGTATATTAACAAACTTTTTTTATTAAGTTCGATGAGGAGAATTATTAAAGGTATACCCGGAGGAGTACGAAATATTTCGAGAGAACATCAGCGCAAATATCCGGATAAAGTTTACTATAACAAGGGATTGTAGTCCATATAAATAAATATAAAATTTATGTTCTATTTTATAAATAAATATACATATATGTTATTAGATTTTCCATGGGATCTATAAAGTTTTTGTACTATCGAAATATCAAATTATTAAATGATTAAAGCTATAGAGACAAAATAATAGCTATTCAATTATCGAATAACATAACATTTATTGACACAACACTGTCATCATATTACTATGTTTTTCAATAATATAGTAAATAATGTAGTAAAGTTTTTTTTATCATATCACTATATATGGCAGCATTTTTACTTTCGACAGGCTTCTCGAAAAATTTAATAACATTAATAACATTAATATTTTAGTGCATAAGTAACGTTATATTTAAAACGTACGAAACTTATAAATAACATTAAGACGCCTGAGAGGAACAATTAAGCGCTTATTGAAATAAAATTATTGCTACAATTTATAATTATATACGTCGATAAAGCACCAATTTATATTGTCGATTATTTTATTCTTAAAGGCCATGGCACATAAAAAAAGCAAATCGACTAATCACAGTAGAAAATATAAGGCAATAATAGAAGCAGTAGCAAATTTAAAATATTGTTCACTGCTTATATTTTGCTGCTTAGGTTTTTTTTGTGCACCATAGCTTTTACTATTACATCTTTACTAATGTTTCTATTGCATCGCGCGGGCTATCAACTTCTCTCTCATTATAATACTTCAGTGCGTTGATGGAATTTTATTTTATCGTAGATATATTACGTTTTGTGACTAAATCCTAATTTAAATTTCACTAAATACTAATTATTAATATCGGTGCGACGATCAAAATTTAATACTTTAAAATCATAAGAAAGAACTGTGCGTAAATGTTCAATAGCAAATATAAAATATTCCTGCTATAATAATTGACTATAATTAAATGAGTTATATATTATATTACAGTTTCGAATTCATCTCTGATCCAGCAGAAGAGTTTACCTCATTGTGCCATTTAAAACAACGATATTTATAAAGGATGGAATAACACTTATTTTATATCAGTTTCATAAAACTAGAACCTTTCATAACATTATAATCCTTTGTTGAAATATAAATACGTAGGTAGTTTACTGCCTTCACAGTTCTTCATTAGTAGTTCATAGTTTTTCGGCTCCCAGCGTTGTAAGGTAGTTGCCTTAATGGAGCTTAATGGACGTGGCATAAAATAAAATGTTAAAAATAAAATATTGAAAAAAAAATTTTCGAATATGTAAAGTATCAAAAAAATTGTTTACCAATTTTGTGAGAATAGCGCACACGCCGTCGGCACCATAAACGTCAACCTAAGATGTTCAATACAAATTTCACATAGTAATTATTCAATGACAAAGATAAATGGTAAGGATATAATCATTTAATAACAATGATAAATGATAAGCAAAAATAAGATAAAAAAAGAATGTGGTACTCACGAAATTCCGCACATCATAATTTGTATGGGTGCATGCAGTAGTTTAATTCTTTGCATCCACGCATATTTTTCCAATTTTTCCATTATGGGCGGTAAGATAACTGTGGAAATTATCGTTTTAATTAATTAAATTTATTATTATATAACGAATAAATTTATAGAAAATTTTAATAAATAATTTAAATTGAGATGTTTGATTGATACATACGCATGCCTGGTGCGCACATGACGATTCTCGAAATGACAACTTGACTAATGCCTTTCACAGCTGCGAGCTAAAATTGTTTAATAACGTTAAATATTTTCAATATGTTAAATTTAATAAGATTTGGAATTTCGAAATTTAATATTATCTTGTCTTGCAAACGTTTTAATCAAATTAATTATATGCATGTATATAATATTAATTATATGCATGCATAAATTAATCTGCTATATGTTTTTTGTGTAAAATTTACATATAAAATTTAATGACCAGCGACAAATAATGTATACCTTCGATTTTGTAAGTTTTCTACCGTTCTCGTCAATGAGATCCACGCCGTTTATAATTTCGTTCTGTCTCATTAGAGGAATATTAGCGCAATTAGCGGCTGCCACTGCAGCAAACGGAACGTACCTCTGAAATATGTTTTTTTTTCTTGTATTCAGCAATCTAGATCTTTAGCAATCTCAGACACGTTTTGTTTTAAATTATATTATATACTTATAGGTAGTCTAAAAATCAAAGTTTCAATATGGTCGATTTTACAAGTTAATCAACTACTTCAAATTTCATTAAAAGGAAAGAATCATTAATCATTGGTGTAAAATCTGGGATATTCTATGTAATTTTTAAATTGCTCTCACGAAACTTACAGCCATTAGAGGACTAGCGCGCTTCTCCCAATATGATTTACATCCTATCGCAGTTATCATCGCTGCAACGGTCGCACTAACATAAGCTACACCTAGTTGAGTAGTCGTTACAGGACTGTTAGCATTCCTGTTGGTATAATTGACGAGCGCGTTAAAGGACTGGTTGACCCATTGCCAAAAAACTACTGCTTGAGTCGTCCTAGATCGAATTAACATTGTCAGAAAAGAAGTAATAACTTGATTTAGACTAAGTAATAAATTTTTTAAATAAAATCATGGGCATTCAATTAAAAACCTCATGTGTTATTAAAATTAAAATTAAATAGAGCGAATACTTATTTTTCTTGACTGTTAAAAACGTTTTGGTTTTTTCAAAATATCAATATGATTAAATGAAAGAATTTTCAATAACCATCAATCGAAATTACTGTAAAATACCTATAGAACTGAAGCATAGCGCCGGTGATGGCCATTCCACCTGGCACCTGGAAGGACATTCTACCGAAGACATTCTGCAGCTCGCCGGTATCCGGATGAAAGGCAGACTCGTACAATTTCTTCGCATAGATAATTTGCTCCGTGGTAGTATTGGTTGGCTCTTTGCCAATTCTGTAAGGTACAAAGTGCGAAGCTTTTCAAGCAACTAATTGAGAATACAATACTTACGTCAAATGCAGGAACTCATAGCCTCATTTTCATTCCCAATAATAAATTTTAATTCAATGGAAAAATTTACGTTGGATTTATCTTGAAAGTTCTAGATGGTTTAAGAATTGGTAGAAATAAGTATATCACAGAAATATTTAATTATCAAAAATGCTGAAAATTTTCTAACAGTGCGCGTCGAATCGACTAAAATAAAAAATAAATTTCGTGACATATAATTATTTCCTATTACCTGTATTGCTCACACAACGTTTTAGCAGCTATCAGCTCTGATTCTGATTTGACGCAGGTGCGGAAGTCGGTCATCCACGCAAAGTATTTCCATCTTCCCACGAAGGTGTTTTGATCCCACAGGGGTTTGTCTATGTCCAATCTTTCATTCGTCATTATGTCCAATTAAGAGATGTCTCCAGCACAGATCTCTAATCAAGATTATAATTGGTAAAATAATGAATTATAAATTTAGAAAATTGATTTTGTAAATTAAAATATATTAGAATTAACATCTTTCCTTTCAATATATTTTCATACTGTTATTTATAAATTGAAAATCGTTTGGTTTATACGCGCGATAAAGAATATACAGAGTGTCCCAAAGATAATATTTTAAGACAAGATATACGTACTACAAGTGTTATACAAATGGTCACCGGACGATGGACGTTCTATGAGATCGTATGTTTCGCATATAAGCTGTGCTTCCTTTTATAATGTTACAAGAAGTCCGACAAAATGAGAATATATTTATAGTTTCAGTACGCGAGCTATGCGCGTGAAAATAGTGCACTGTGGTCAAGCATTTTTAATTTATACAAAGCAATTTTCGCTTCTTGTCATCGAAATATTACGTAATATTTTTTCACAAGTAGAATAAGCATAATAGATAACAAATATAGTGCCATCTATTATGAGTTATAGAGCAAAAGATAAAGACTAATATTTATTATTATTATATACATTGTACGTAAACCTTCTTTAAAGCAAATTTAGTGAAAAACAAATTGTATCATTAGATAATGTAAATTAATCTTTTACTACTCAATATAATTTTTAAGTCAATTCAAAATAAGATTTCCTAGTTTGTTTCCTTTTATATTCTTCTTCATCAAACTCTTATTAACTCTAAAATTAAATATTATTTAAAATTAATTACTACTTAAAAATATTTAGTTTTGCTTTGGGTCTAAAAAAAATACAAATTTATCACTTATATTTTTTCGAATTTATATTTCTATGTATTACAAAATTTATAAATTTTTAAAAAATAATTTTTTATAATAGAGCATCTTTTTTATTTTGACATATTATATCAAAATTTAGCGCTTTTCTTTCATAGCTAGGAGAAAATTAAATTTAATATTTCTCTAATAACTCTTTTCAATTCACATTACAGATGTAGTCAACTCTAAAACTATAGAAGCTGTTTACGCGAATATTTACGTATCCGTAATAAGCAAATATATTATGCAAGAAATAATATAAAGGAAATTTCGCGAAAGTCCGAATGATGTTGAATCGTTTGCACCGTCATGATGGAATTGATAAATAAGCGTCATTGCGTATTATCAGTGTTGTGCCATTCACGTGTCGCCGCTAATCATTTGAATGCAAACCATAATTGTGCAAGTACGTATCACACTCAAAGAACCCCAGAGCACATTTTTTTATTAATAAAATTATCAAGTAAAACATAGCGTACTACAAAAAATTGTAAATAAAGGGATTCTGAAACTTCCTGTATTATCGATAAAACTAGCGTTTTTAACGTTTTTGTTCCTGTCGAATTTCTTCATAGTAGTTTCACAGAATAAAAATTTCTTCTGGAAAAAATAAAAAAATTACAGATTTCTTTATCTATTTTACTTTTAGCGTTGGTCGTCATACTGAGATAAAAATGGATTAAAAAATCTGTATTTTTTTTCCAGCTTAACGACAAGTACATTAGCAAATACATTTTAATTGTGAAAAAGAAATTTTTATTTTATAAAACTACTACGAAGAAATTCGACAGGAACAAAAATGTCAAAAACGTTAGTTTTATCGATAATACAGGCGGCTCCAACATCCCCTTAAATAAAATTTGCTTTTATTATTTCTATTGTCGTTAATTAATTTAATTTAATTGAACAAATTAATTTGGTTCAATTGATAAATTAATTTTTTTATTATAATTATAATCCTTCGTCGGCAATGTAAAATGTTCACCCTTCGTCCGCAATCTTTATTCATGACTATACCATATTTGATCTTTAGTGCAAATTTTTATATAAAAATTTTTTCAGATTTAAAAAAATTTTTATATAAAAATTTATATAATTAACAATGAATTTTTACTATCACAGAAATTAGATTATTTTACTTATTTTTTTATAGATTTAATTTTATTTATTAAAATTCATAATTGAAAAATCGCTTTTAAAGTCCAACATTTCTAGTGGAGCTTGTTAAAAAGTTTTAATTTACACATTTTTATAGATTTTTCCTGATCGTCTCTCTCTCTCTCTCTCTCTCTCTCCCCTCTCTATCATTTTTCTTCATTATCCTTTTTTTTATTGAAATGTCAATACAAATTGTAACCGGATTTTTTATTATTTCATTATCTATTCAATGTAAATTAACTACTTAAATTACTTGTAGCCATCAATGAAAACGTGTGAACACAGCTTAACAAGCATCAACATATACGCACTTCCCGCATTATCATTACTTCTCTCATGTGTCGCTTTATTTATCTCTTCCAGCACTTGTCACAGTATACATCGACTCTCCGCTCTCAGAAAAGTTGCGGTCGAAGTGACGACCCAGTTTTTCGGTAGGATGCACCGGTAACCACAATTTATCAACCGGTCGTTTTTTACATTAAATGTCAATAACATAGGCATGGAGAAAGAGACTTACGCCGCTACTAGGATCGCAAATTGGACCGGTAAGAATTTGCCCTCGCTGCACTCGCGTCACCTTGAATAACTTATGCAACATCTTATCAAAGCATAAATCCTAGTCACTCACCCTGTCGTGAAAACACACGCTACTTCTGGAACTGCGCTCGGCCGTTCTCGGCCACTCTACCTCAATGCCGGCAAGTGCCGAATCGAGCAATCGAGATGTGCGGCGAACGCCAGCAAACGTCAGCGAACGCCGAATCCAAAAATGAGCGATACCGCGTGCAATAATCGTACGAGACCTCTTATTACGCTACTGATACCGACGAACGCGCCCTTCAATGGAAAAGTTGTATCGGACTACGTTCGTAGCGCTTACAACATTGTAACAATTTCAATACAGTCTAATCTCACATCATTGCCCGTCATTATAATTACATAAATAATCGAAGGCTAGAAAATCAAAGATTTACGAATAGGAAAGTACAGTTACAGATATGAAATTGTTGCACTTATATAAATACGCTCGTATTTTCGTGCGTATTAATTTGCGCAAATTTACCTCTCTGAAAATTTGACATCGGTTGGCAGCATTGTTCATCAGCCAGAAAATTGCAGAAAATGAATGCTCCGTAGGGGCCCTTTGACGAAGGATACGGACCTGGTAGGCCGCCTCCAGCAAGCGCAAGCGCACCAGGGGCGGCGACGCGGCGCAGTCACAGCCAGCTGTGTGGGCTGCCAGGTTAAATGTCCCCTCTACCTGGCAACCAACTTTTACCCCCACCTGCCCCCTGGCCGTGAAGCTTTACCGCCCGCTTCACCACGCTTCACGCGGTCTTCGCACACAGCTGCAGCCGTCGTTCCTCACGTCATCCGGTTCAGACAGACTGCGAGCGAGCGAGCGAGTAAGGAAGAAAAAGAAAGAGAGAGAAAGAAACAAGGGGCGGTGCGTCGCGGCGCGGAGCGGCGCGGCGCACGAGACGACGACGGCGACGACAACGATACGAGACGAGCCGCTCGCTCCTCTCCGGTCGGCTCGGTCGTAGCGGAGCGAAGCGGAAAGCGCAAAGCCCACACCACACCACACACCACCAGCTTACTTGCACGCTCGCTCGCAATAACTTTAAACTCGAGGCAAGATGGCGGCCGCGGCGGCGGAGGCCCCGTCCGCGCACCTCGCGCTCGCCACGGGCGACAAGATCCTCGTGACCGTCGAATCCGCGCTGCCTGACATCCTCGTGGTATCTTTCGTCCATGGCGCCAAGTGCTTCCAAGGTGCGCTTCTCGACGCCACTAAGAGGTAAGAATAAGGGAGAGAAAGAGAGAGAGTGAGAGAGAGAGAAAGAGATAAAAAGAGCGAGAGACAGAAAGAAAGAGAGAGAGAGAGAGAGAGAGAGAAAAAGTGAGAAAGAGCGACATGAAGGAAAGACCTCGTGTTGTGACCTGTTCTTTTTTTCCTATTTTGTTCCGCTTACCGAGAGCCTTTTGTTCTCTCATCGAAACAGTGTTCAACCCCTGTCCACCCTTCGGCTTTTAAAGAAAAAATCTTGAAAAATTACCCGTTTATGAGTTCCGCTAGTTAAACCCAAAGGTGTCCAATGGCTAGCATCCAAAACAGCTTGGGATTAGTTGATTAATCGATTTGATGATGTTCTGGTCCTTTGAAGGTTTTGCAGGAAAATGATCATGTTTATGCCTTTGCTTTATCACACTAAGTGTTGACGATTAAATTTGCTCATCAATCATTGCTCTTTAGAAGTTTTTTTGCCTTGCCTTTCTGAAGCCTGAAAATGTATGTCTTCTGAAAATGAATTGGTTCTATAATAACTGTATAGGTACTTTAGAGATTGGTAGATTTGGAATTGGTTAAATAGTAACTAAGAGGTACTTTAGTGTTTTTGCTATCTGTGAACAGAATGACGAATATATAATGGAATGTTCAACAGAAAAGTTGATGACTAAGTCCACTTACAGTTTATTGAGATATATGATGCATAAGAAAAAAATACAATAAGATTGGAGTCATGAGTTGAAAAACGAATCATCGGAAAATTTTGACTTTCAAAACCTTTCCATCGTCGCACACAAGTTCGTACTTTGGAACAAAGTGACAATTGTTTCTTAAACCGGATATTAATGACTAGGCTCTTTTGTGCCACTCTATGATTATTTCTTTCAATACTGCGTAGGCGTTTCGATATTTTAGAAGAGTTTTAAAAATTTGATGATATAAATTCTTGTATACTAGTAGATTCACATCATTTTTTCAAATTATAGTAATAATTTTGAGAAAAAAACTCATTGTTCAAGGAACAAACATTAATGATATTTTTTCATGGGTTTGATTTTTTTTTATTTTGTTATAACGATTCTAAGATTCTGATGGAACAACACGAAAGATTTGAAATTCTCAGATTTTTCGAATATCCACGTTTAAAGATGCCGAAATCTCATAAATTGCACAGCTGCAAAAATTCTTCACAATGACTTTCATTTTCGAATTCATGAATTTAGTATTAGAGTATTTTGAGTAGTAGAGTATTTTGGGATTCTAGAATTGCCACACAAACTAAGATTAAAGTGTAAGAAAATAAGGATCAGGATAAAAAGCAAAATGATTTATGATCGGTGTAATAATAATGCGGATGATGATTGATGTTCCATTGCTACAACAAATCCGGTTGCCAGATATAACTTTCAGTTTTTGATGTAATCATTGGGATACAAGGATATGATATTTCCAATTTATAAAAGTTTAAATTCAGATACTTGCACTAACAATGTTTCAAATGTCAGGATCCCAAGGAGTCTCATTACATAATCGATCTAAAATTGGACGATTATACAAAAATATATACGAATATATATACGAATATATATACGAATATACAAAAATATCATCCATTTTTTTGTGTAGCATTCTTGAAATGTAAAGATTTGTCTTTCAAGTAACTATATGAAACGAAGTACAAATGGTATAAATGGTAAATTGAGAGGAAAATCTATTTTTTTGCAGCACAAGTATGTTTCTAAAAAAGTAGTGTAACATCAACTTTTCCAAAAATTTGATTTTTAACGAAACGTCGATTTATTATTTAGAAATAATCGGACTGATGCAAAAGATATATTAATCGTCTTCAAAACTTTAGTTTTTTTTTTTTTTTTTAAAGAAAGAGGCTTTCCCCTAACTCTTACTTTGTTTTTGAAATTAATATCTCATTATGGCTCTTTCACTTTTAACTTTTTAAACGTCATAGCCAGTCGAAATTGTCCAAGCTGAAATGAAGATTGGAGCGTTTTAAAATTCAAATATAAAGTATCTGAGGAATAATATTAAGATTCGAGATATTTTAATTATTACGATCCGCAGGATTAACTTGTTGGGAAGAAGTTGTGGAAGTGATGCCATCCGTCGGCTTCCACGATAGTGCACGAACTTACGCGCGAACTTGGCACAAAATATCTCATTTCCTCCGAGACGTAAATAGGTCCAAGTTCCGAAAGCTCCGATAATTTTGATAACTTATCTGTACTTTAATAGGAAACGTATGCGCGCGTGGATGTCTCCTCCTGGCGCCAGCCGCAATGGGCGTGGAAGTCGTGAATTTCCTCAAATTTCACATGACTCGGCTGTCGCTAAGTCGTCATATAAATGAGATATTACATCCTCTACCCATGTTTTTTCTGCACTCACACATGCGTATAATTACGTATACTCGGTATATCACGAGTCGCATGCTTTCTCTCCTAACGGATTCAAATCGTGATGGAATTCTTTTCGACGATAACCGAAAAGAAGTTGATTACTGAAATTCTTTTCGCGCGATAATGTTATATAAATAACGAGCAGTGGAATTTTCCATTCGATAAATTTCGATTAAATAAGCTGAACAGTCGAAAAATAGGTGGTTAAACGTAACGAAAGTTTTGCTTCACCCAGTATATGCTAAAAAGACTTCACTGTGGTGACTCATGGTCTCGCATAGTAAACGCACCTTTGTAATATAGTCGTTGCCGACTTCTCTGATACGAGCAGTCATTTCGATTATTGGGAAATCAACTAAGTAGCTATTATACCAGTTGACCACTATTGTGCCACTCATACGAGTTAATCCGCGAACTTATGAAAAGCGAGCTCCTATATATATAGTCAGACCAATAACACGTGGGAAATATACTTAAATTGAATTTACTTAAATATTATAACTACCAAGTTTGTCGAATGCGATTAATCAACTTAACGAACTTTCATTATTGAAGTTTTATAAGGCTGTTGAGGTTTTATTGAACTTGATTATATATGATTACAACATGAATTTAAATTTTACTATCGAATCAATTGAATTCACTGAGTGTTATAATTAAAATGGATATTAAACCGATTTTGTTGAAAACTATTGCTTGGTGGGTAAACTCATTTTCATTGGACGTTACGTAATTATCCAATTTGTTCAATTTTATCTCGAGAATCGGAGTGTAATTTCGATGATTTTGTAATCGCGCTGATCCCGATCGACACCAATCATCCCCAGACTTTTCGTTTGAGCGTACCCTATTTATCCGGATAGCAATTTTGCTCTTGCAATCGCTAGTTTTGTCCATTCAAGCAGTTGTTGTTTTTCTCAGCGCATTTTTCTTAGAGGGCAACCGGGGTTAGCCTCCCCGTGAGTTCAGAACCGAGCTCGTTGCTGCGGCCGAACAGCTGTTGCCCGTTTTCTTACCCCGCGCCCTAAGTTTTCTTGTTCAAGCTGGGCGGCCAATGGCCGCCCCGTGTCGCAATTGCACAACCATGCCTAGCAGGGCTGTAAGTAAGGTTGAAAGGGTCGTTTAAAGTTTGATCACCAATACGTCCCAATTTAATTGCATCGAAAAATTAATTATTTCAAAGTATTCAATGACTATTTTTATTACTTATTTATTTTCCTTTTGTTAAATTTTGTACGTTTATTGCGGTAATAATATAATCCCATTTTTGTGTTTAGTTGATAATACGTAAGATAGCAATTAGCTAGTATTTGTTATATTTTTCATTTATAAATGATTTTTTTCACTTCAATTATATTGTAATGTATGTGAAAATTTTCTACAGTTTTGTCAAGTTCGGTTAGATAAGAAAAGATAAGTAATCAAGAGACAGTAAAGTTTCTGTTACGGCCCTGAAAGCTAGTCGGGGCCACCGACCAACCAGGCCTGGCTTGTGTCACGTTGTGCACGACAGTATGGTGCGGTAGAGGTTCCCATATTTTTCCGCTATATGTATTATAATTCAATACTTTTCTGAATTTATTTTTTTAAATTGGTAATAGAGGTACTTTTGAAGAATTTCTCAAAGATATTGATGAAATATTCACATTCATCGAATAAACAAGCGAATTTCTCAACAAAGATTTACGCACAAAATTAATTCTTTTTCCCTTTCTAAAAACGATATCAACATTAGCATCTCAAAGAATTTCTTGAATCATATTCGAACGATAAAAGAAGAACTCCATAGATATTTATATCTGTTGTTTTTTTTTTTTTTTAAATAAAATATTAACATATTTTTTTCATTAATTTAAAATAGACTACTTCAGCGGAATTTTTATTCAACTACACGGTCTGTTAAATCTACATTTAGGAAAGGTCGACTGCAAATCGATGACTGAATTAGTAGATGACAGTCCAAGGACATGAATTTATTAGTCCGGGAAACGGTATTTATCGATCTACCCGACATCAAGTCAAAATACGTCCCAGCTGTGCGGTTCACGCATGATCCAAGATTGAGAACCTCTATTATAGTGGTCTCGTGTTCGTCAGGAACAAAGGGAATATCGTCGACGTCTCTGAGAACGCCACCATTTGCGGGTCGAAACTGCGGATGTGTGCGTGGACACAAAGCAGAGAAACAGCCACGTATACTATGCCATAGTCCACGTTAACTGTCTGCTTTATTAACTTAAGAAATGAGCCAATTGTTGTTATAGTTTTTAAACAAGATAATTGAAAACATCAGGAAAAAAACCAATTAGAATCTAACTGCGACAGGCTGAAGATAAATGGAATTCGACGTATTATTGAATAGAAGCTTGTTATATATACTTTAGATTACAGGCTCGGTTAAAAATGTAAATTAAATTTAGAGATTAGATAAGCTTACGAATTCAGAATTCGAGAATGAGAGGAGGATAATTTGAATAATTTTAGGATTACAAACAGTAAAGTTCTGGTCACGCGGGATCTCTTTGCAGAGTGCTATAAATTCGTAACAAATTGGACAAACAACGATAGTGAATAGACCTCTCTAATTTATCAGTTCCATCATAATCATTTTCACGTCATGGCGAATCTGCTGATTCCCGGTATTATTCCCTCCCGGCCATTTTTCTTCCCCACGCGCGGGCTGACTCGGAATTTCGAGGGTCTGCCTCGTATCGGGACCTAGAAAATATTAATGGATATACCGTCAGAGGCTGTCGCTCATTGTACGTGCCTCTCTCGAATCAATACCATGACATGGCCGCGTTGTCGGTGCACGGGAAGCCGACGAAGCATACCCGAAAGCGTTGCCCAATCTTTTGCCATTCTCATTCTGTTTCTATTGAAAGCTTTGGCGCAATGATCTAGCTCATTTGTCGATGAATGTAGGAAAAGGATGTAGGATGATGAAGAAATTGCTTAAAATCGCGAGAAAATTTAGAAAATTTGGTAAAATTCGAAAGAACAAGTCATTTGTTATTTTCTATGGTAGAAGTTCATACATCAGTCAAAAGCCTTTTTCCGAGTCGAAAAAAATAAATATGAATATCAATTAAGAATCGAAAGAACTAGCGTTGTACCTAAGCATTTTCTCATAAAGAAATGTAAGAAAACTTCATTAATTCTTTATTGACTTACGTTTATGTAAGATGATACAAATGAATATCTGTCGCTATTAAAGTAAGTCGCAGTTAATGAAGTATATCAGGCAGTTTCGATAAATCCTCAAGATAACAGCGCGATACGTACACAGAAAAAATGGTTTTGCTAAAATATTAAAAAATTTAGATATAGGTCTGAAAGTAATTTAGTTGGACTACCAATAGTAAAATAGTTACGTAGAATATTTAAACGTTGATAACAATGCTGCAAAAAATTTTAACATTTTAGCAAAGCGAGCTTGAGCGTCTTATATAATTATTTTAATAGTCCAAACAAAATTATTTTCTCTAGTATTTAAAAAAATTTTTAAATACTTGACTAAAAAAACCGTTCTTTTCGAAACGACGGAAATATTGATAAGGCATCACTATCTCTTTGAATAATTAGCTTAGATATCATTTAAACTTCTAGAACGTCGATCACAAGACACGCTTAATTGTGTTCATAGGGGACTTCCTTGTGGTGTTCAACCCCCGGAATCGGTGCCAGATCCCGATGGCGATAAACTGGCGACGATTGCAGCGCGCTTCAGTTATTTCCAGGAAAAGAGGAATGTGCTGTCGTCGTCGGCGACCGCCGTCGTCGCCAAGGTCGACCTCCGCAGAAGCATCAATCCGCCCGCTAGATACAAAAATGCGAGGCCTACAGTGAGATTGAGGCCCCGCCAGGTACTCTGCAGTAAGTGCCGATCGATCTGCAACGAGAACAGCGAGGCACGAGAACGCGCAACAGCAATCACAGCAGGTACCGTGAACGTAGCTTACTTAGGATCGTATATATTTTTATAGAATTGTGTTTAGATTGTATACATCTCTTTTAGAAATTTTAATATTAGTAGGTAGTGATTAATTATTTATTTTGAGTATTAAGTACATGGAAAGAACAATTTTGTTAAAATATTTAATTTATTTATTTAGATACAAATCTAAAATAATTTTGTTGGATTATCAAAATAATTATGTGGGAAACTCTCAAGCAGAATGCAAAAATTTCGATATTCTAGCAATTTAATTAAGCGTCCTACATGATTATTTTAATAATTCAATAAAATTATTTTCAGATCTGTATCTACCTAAATTTTTAGATACTTCAATAAAGTCGATTTTTTCCATGTAAAAGCATCGTTCAGCTTTGAATACTTAAAATAAGTAATTTGCAATATTAAATTGGATTTTTGTAAGGGATAAAATGTTTTTCTCTTTAGAAAGCTATGTTTTAAAAAATTTTAAACAGAATATTTAATAAAGAGGAAAGTTTTTTGCGTGTATGTGTATGTATTGTGTGTTACGTTGTCAGTAATCTACAAATTTAAAAATATTTAGGAACAGAAGACTTGGAAGCCATAAACTGAAATTTATTTCTTTAAGAAACTTAAATTGTAATCGTCGATGTCGTAAAAAATCTGATAACATGAATTACGTTCCTCTTGAGTTTTTAAGTTTCAATAAGAACCCTTTTTTCGACAACGTTAAATTCATTGAACTCCTAGAAACTTTATTGAAATTACTGCACGTTAACAAATATTTGACTTGAATCATCGCACGGAAGTTACTATTTTCTTTGCTGATTCTACCAGCTGATTCCGGGGTCCACGAGAAGAAGTGATCGACGTTGCGGTCAGCAACCGCAGAAAACTCAGCGAACGTTGCTATCGGAATGCCGGGCAGAAAGCACGATCCAAACGACGACGAAGACGACAAGTTCGAGTACCGATTCAAAGCTGGGAGCATCGTTGATCCCAAAACTGTCGAGATTACAGCCCAATGAGATCAGCAACGTGATACAAAGTCCCCCCGATCAATTATCTGGTATATTTTCACTGGAAAATTTAAGAACACGTTTAAACAAATTATAGATTATATTGTGTATATTGTGATTTTATGCGAATTAACTGTATGAGTCATCTTTGAATTTATTTTTCTTTAGTGAACAATTTGCTTTTGTGATATTTACTTTTTTCTTTTAGTTTTTTTGCTTTTAATCTTTTTAACAATCTAATAATTTCAGTTAATTACATGTTTTATATATAGAATCTTATAATTAGAGAGCATATATTATACCAATTATACGCAGCAACTGAATTAAAAACTCGTTATATAAATGGAAATAGAGTCCAAATCTTGAGAATTAAATTTTTTTATGATGTTTCATACAGTTATTGCTACAAGTTTTAATATTGTTTTTTTTTGTCATATTATATAATATATTATATATGTGAGTGTGTGTGTATGTGTATATACACATATCTATATATATATTGTATATATATTGTATATATATTGTATATATATATATATATATTGTATATATATATATATATATAATAATAATAATTTAACTGGAGCTTTTTAAGCTGTTGTTATTTTAACTTTTATAGGGCAAGATAATTTTTCAATTTTCGTAACATATATTTGTTCAAAGTGTAAAGAAGATACATATTTTTAATCCTTTGCGAAAATAATAAATGCTTGAAAATTAGAAAATGTTTTTCGGACTAGAATTTTTAGATGAATAAAGAAGCTTTAATTGACAATATCTTAGTATGAACTCGTATCGAAGATTGAATCATTGTTTCAGATAAGATGAAGGTCGCGGCGAGCGTGCAATCTTCACATTGGCCTGTAACAAATGAAGAGGAGATGTCCTTGAGGAACGTATTGACATCGCAAGAACGGGTGGAGTCCACTGCCGAATGCGACAATAATCCCTCAACGGCTTATTGCGCTACGCCGAGAAGACTTAGCAGTTCGTCGGTGGAGAGCGCGAAAATTCCCGAAGAGGAGGACAAGAAAACCTTCGCGGCTGCGGATTCGACGATGAGATTGAAAACTGGTAGAGTGCCGAGGAAGAAGCGTTCAGTGGGTTCAATGGAGGATCTTTGGGATGAATCAGTGTTTGAAGATCCCACGAGAATTGCCAGGACTACGCCGGTGATCAAAATCTCGTTTGGTGCGCAAGGCGAAGGAACTGTTCTTAAAATACCTGCGAAACCTCAGGATCCTGATGCATACGAACAGGAAACGGATGATGCTGATGATACTCAGCAAGAGAGAGATCCTCTGGAACTGCCTAGATCCTTTGGCGAATATTACGAGGGTGAAGAAGATGGGCAGGAACAGGTGGATCCTCAAAAGCAGGGCGGTGTAGTGAAAGATGCCAGCGCAAAGGCGGCAAAACGAGCTCTCAAGAAAGCTAAAAAAGAGGCTAGAAGAAAGATGTTGGGCGGAGTGTCACCAGCGAGGTCGCCTTGTAACGGATCACCGAGGTAAAAATAGATGAAAATTATATTCAAATCCAAAGAATCCGTGATTTGCTTGATTGTGAATTTCATAATACCTTTTAATCCTTTTTTATTATTTTTTTTTACGATAATATGTATAGAGGGAGATTGTCAATACCATCATATCACTTTGTTCTTTGACACTATTAACAAAAGTTACACTCTTAAACAAAAGTTAAAAATAAAACTTCTTTTACAATATTATTTAAAAATTTGCAATAATTAAATTTTCATAAAATAAGCAAAAATGAACATCTTACAAAGTGAGCCTCAAAACTGACGTAATAGATAGTAATGCTACATATTCTTATTTTTCTTTTTCAATTATATATACAAATTATTTCAATTATATATACAAAATACTTATAAGTTAATGTATATGAGCATTTCTAGAATTCTTTCATTTCAATACACGGAAAAAATGGCTACAATTGCTACGACCAAAAGTCACCATCAATATATTTTTTGGTTATGAGAACTACAATATATACAAGATACAGGGTGTCTTATTTTAATCGATCACTTCAAACATTTCTTGAACAACACATTTTAAGGAAAAATATTTCAGACAAAAGTTTTGGGACATAAGATGGTGCCATTGGTTTGATCTTGGGTGGCGTCATCAAAATTAGAGCAAGGTCACTTTGAATTTTGGAAACGGAATCCCCTATTTTGTATTACGTATTCTTGTAGCTTATTTTTATTTTTGCATTAAAAATTCATTTCTACATAAAAATGAAAATAAGAAGTACAACCTCCAATGACTTTGAACTTGATAAACGTTATTCAGAACATGATCCTGAACAACATTTGAGAGGTTTTAATCATCAGTCGAATACCTTGCGTAATACTAATGCCTGCGGTGCTGTAACTTATAACTCGAAAAGTACTTAATGAAAATGAATTTGATTACAGTATTTTGGAAAGCTCTCAAGGTAAGCTACAAGAATACGTAATGAAAAATAGAGGGTTCCGTTTAAAAAATTCAAAATGATCTTGCCCTGACCTTGACGACGCCACCCAAAATCAAACTAATGGCACCATTTTATGTCCCCGTCAAAGTCCCAAAACTTTTGTTTGAAACATTTTTCCTTAAAATTCACTGTTCAAGAGATATTTGAGATGATAGATTAAAATGGGATACCTTGTATATTATGATATCCGTAATATTGGCATATCTCAACGGTTATGGCTGTAAAGATATGTCCATCTTACGGTTGTCACAATCAAACTATTGATGGGCGAAAATTATCATTATTTGTAACAACTATAATATTTTTTTCTATGTATAAAAACGATTTTTGTTGATTTATACCCATATTTTATGCTGTTCCATTTGACAATTTTTTTTAAGTTTTCCCATAAATACAAGAGCGCTTTCAGCTCTGATAAGATTTTTTTACACAAAAATGCTACAATACATAAAGATTAAGCTTATGGTCTGTCTTACAGTGTCTTACGACGTGCCAGTTTATATCCTCATGTTATGTTTAAAATTATATTATAAAAAAAGAAGAATAAGATAGAAAAAAAATAAATAAATAATTTTAAGAAACATATAAGCGATCTAATATTATCAGTATCATAAACTATACAGTTTGCGAATAAAAATCGTAAGAATTAATTTCATATTTGTGAAATTTGTTTTAATTGATTTTATATATGAATAAGTCACAAAAATATGTGAGTTTTTATTTCTTTAATTATTTAAATAAAAAATATTTTTATCAGTATATTAATAAAATTCAATGTTTAGTTTCTAGAAATAAGGAAGTATTTCTTAGGAAACCTATATTTTTAATGTCTGTTCCTATATCAGTATTGATGACTTTTCTCTATCTAATAAATTTCCTCTATATAAAAATACACCGCATAACTGTGTATATGATTACACAATATAAAAGAATAACTTTTATTATATAACTAATTTATAAAATATTTCTTTGCGTATTTAGAATGTTTATTTAAGAAATGCCATTTTTGAAAAATGTATTGATTTTTTATCGCTATTTTAAATTATCTAGATATAATCCTACGTACGATCCGCTCTTATATCATCGCCGGAAGCACAAAGTGAAACATAAAAAGAAGCATAAGGAGGGCAGAAAACACAAGAATCAGCAACAACAGGAACAATCGCATTCTGAACAATCCTGTTTAGATTCTACAGACTCGCAACAGCAGTCGCAGCAGCAGTCACAGAATTGGAATGTTTTACCGGGAGGTGGTGAATCTTATAGAGCCATTAAGGAGCAGTGCCTAAAACAGAAGCTGTCGATATCCCTGAAGAGGCTGAACACAAATGCGTATGCGCGTTGTGATTATCCCGTGAGCAACGCGTCCTCTGGCTGCAAGAGCTCCGGTGGTAGCAGCGATGAGTTAAGCGAACATGAGCCGGAAGTAGAAACTGCACCAGATTTTCCGCCTCATCAGTCGCATCCTCTGGTTATGCGTCTAGCTGCCACCTCCGTCGCGCACTGTCTTACTACTAATGGCAGACGGATGGACGTAGGTGATGTTGTATGGGGCAAAATTCACGGCTTTCCTTGGTGGCCCGGCAAGGTATGCTCAAAATGTTCTAAAAAATATGTTGATAATATCCTTATATAACATAAGTTACAATAATTATTAGCTTAACTAACTAGCATTAATTTAGCATGGTTATTATCGAATTTTATTATGTGCAGGTGCTAAGTATCACGGTATCTTGCAAGGAGGACGGTACCTCATCGGGTCCTCAGGCTCATGTGGCTTGGTATGGATCATCAACCAGTTCATTGATGTCCTGTGATCAATTAAGTCCCTTTCTGGAAACCTTTAAGGTATATTCATTTAAATAATAATAATGAATAAAATGCTTAAAATAAATACAGTAAGTAATAAAATAAGTAAAATATAAATAATTGGAATTGCTTCAAATGACAAAAGATATACAAAAGAGAGATATACGAAATTTGGAATTTATTGTATATCTTATATTTTCTGTACTAGTTTTATAATACAGTGACAGTAAAATAACAATTTTTAGAAATATTGATGTAGTTGTGAATCTAATTCCAGACACGGTATAATAAAAAAAAGCGTGGCCCGTATAAGGAGGCAATACGGCAAGCCCAAAACGAGGCTCGAAGTCAAATCACGCCTAACTCAACCAGCAATGTGTTGAATGTCTGCGGTTCGCCCCGCGAAGTCAACGTCCTCTCCTAAGAGAAGTTCTCTGACAACCATTCCTTTTTAACGAGCATCCGTGATAATTGAAGTGCTCGCGGCAAAAAGAGTGCCGACCAATATATAATTAATAATCTTCAAATTTATTAAAATTCTGATCAACGTACACTTCTTTTAAAAGAATTTTTGTTCGTATTTTTTTTTTTAGTCATAATGAATTTAAGCGTTTGAATTAAAAGATCTTAGGAATTTTTAATTACTTTCTTCAGATCTTCGCGATTATTTCAAATTTCTGAAACTTGCAAGTAAACTTTGAAACTATGAAATTTTCGATTCACTTCAACGTACACGTCTTTATTGTAATAAAAAAATTATTGCAGATAATTATACTAATGACTGAATGACTGAAGAAATAACTTTCTTATATGTCACTTGTGCAGGTCAACATTGACTTTCCCCGAGCGCTTGAATTAATGATGGATTGGAATTGTCGTGTAACATATGAAATTTTGTACATACCCATTAGCACTATTGAAATAGTTAATCAATGTTTTGTCAACCATCTGTCTCGCTATCAATCGCTTGAAGCCAGTTGCGCCGGCGTGTATTAATTTGATAAACATTTTTGATTGATATTTTCTTCATTTTCGTCTACATTTTTTCTACAATTTTATGTTAAAAATTACAACTTATTTCATACTACTAAACATATTTGTAAAATTTTTTTTATTGATGAGATCGGGAGCAAAATCGTAATCTTTTTTTTTTTTTAATTAAATTTCTATCCTTTGATGACACAGTCGGTCAATATCTGTGCGGTCGACTGACTTCTTGCGAATCGAATCGCGAACATTTACTGCCATCGTCACTGGCTTTTCTGTCCTCAGCTTATCAAGCGGACGGTAGCGCGCAAAGTCTTATACTTATGTTCTAAATATTTCTATTACTGTGAGGTTTTTTGTTGAGGTTCTTTCGTTGCTTAATCTCTCAAACATCTTGATCGGTGTGACTCATTATATCGCGCAACTCTCTCAGATTGCACCTTAATTATGACGGTTTATTATGTGTATATAGTAATATATGTTTATATATATATATATATATACCTTTATTTTTCATTTGTAGTATTTTTTGGTTTTTTCCGAGATGAAAGAGAAGCAGCGATTTGAGGGATTAAATATATAAAAATTATTGATAATAGTTTATCAATTATTATTTCCGACAATCGCCATAGATACAAGTCGCAGATCTAACTAGACAAATGCGCTTTATTTACATGTGCTTAGGACTGTATTTAAATGTAAAATTTCCTTCTTCGACAAAGAGCCAATGTTTACGCTTTGTGCCAACACTGCCGTGTAATTAAACAATCAATTGTTTGATATTTGAGCAACGATAATTGTAAAGCGAATTTATAATAGCTTGGGTGAATTTTAATTCCTAAAAATCTAATAACTAAAAAGTATGTACTATATTTCTTTCTTCTAAAAAAAGATATATGAAACGATAAAAAAATTTCTTGTAGTTACAGATTAAAAATTAACAAAAAACTAATTTTTACAGCTCTGATATTGAGAAAACTTCAAGTTTTACTTCAAGTTGCGAACTATCAAAATGTTAAAAATATATTAATTTAATTCGTAACTTTGAGAACTTATATAGATATAAATTAATACAAAAAAAATTGAAAAAATTCCGCATCATATTCAGCATTGCGAATTATTTTACAGAAAAGAAATCAAGTATTTAGAAATCGGACATCTGCTCTGATCTAAAAATAGTGAAGACATTGTGAAATCGCGAATAGTACTTAAGAAATCCTGATCATTGTTACATCGATGTTGTGCCACTGCCTCGACGATTTTCTTCCACGAAACTATTTCCATGTCTAATCGAAGTCATTAATGATTGATTTGTTTTTTGTTTTTTTTTTGTGAAATTGATATATCTTATGGAAAAAAAAATTATTTTTGTAGAATTTTCGAATTCGCAACACGCACATAATATATTGAGAATTGATCGTCAGGAATTATTAAAAGAAATATTAAGAATTTGTTGACTATTTTAACCTTGATATTACAAATCTCGACTAGATATTACAAATTGTTTTATTGTTAGAAAATTGATAGTTTTTAAATAATTGACACATTCAAGAAAGGCTAAATTCATTTGATTATAAAACAAATCTTGCGAATGTATTTTGAAGATAAGCATGAACAGTCTTGCGAAATTGGCTGCGACCTTTTTGTTTAATTTTTAATTTAGTAACTAAAAGCGGATGATTATTCCCGCGATATACGTCGTCTATAAATAGGTGCGAAAAAACTATGTGCATGAGAAAAAAGCGGAATGAGAGAGGAAGAAAGAGAAAAAGAAAGGATGTGAAAGAGAAAAAGTTTGAAAAAAAAAGAAAGTGTGGGAAGATAAGGTGTTTTAAGTAACTGTGATTTTTTTGCAAATGTTTTATATATATATTATATATATGTATGTTATATACATAAATATGAATTAATTTCTACATATAATATAAACGATGTTTCGATGTCGCTGTGTTTATACGGACTAGGCTAACATATCGTTAACGAAAATAATGACGATTATTATTATGAACGATGATTATGATTATGATTATTATTCCTTATTATTGTTATTGAGCTCGAGAGTGTTGCTGATTGCTTGCTGTAAGTATACGAGGATGGATCGTACCGTCTATTAGCGTATTTCTACCACCTCATTAAACAAATTGAAACGAAAATGTTAATTTATTTTACAAAGGAAAAATTTGGTGCATTTCATTTTTTTTACGAAAAAGATTTTTTTTTTTGTTTATTAAAAAACTTTGTTATTCGTACTTACGAGGCACCATTTTATTTCGCGTCAATCGCTTTTGTTATTTAATTTTTTTCTCTTTTTCAATATTTTATGTTAAATAAGTATTTATGCGCAGCAGAGAAGGCACTCGTACGTCATTGTTTCGCCATAAATCACCTTTTCTCCGTAAATGAATTATTAAAAAATATAATTTTTTTTATTATTATACATTATTGGGAAACATGATATTCGCGATAACATTTTAATAAAACTAATTAACTAACAATCTTTTAATTTATATTCTTCTGATTTTACATCTCAAAGAACATTTTATAACGAATCAAATTTTTTTGAGAAATTATTACATATTTAGTGAGATATTTGTGAGTTTCGACGTTATCTCTGGAGAAATAATATTTGCGGCGAATTAATTCCGCTATACGAATGCTATTTTTACGCATAATGTGTGTTGATTTAGGAACTACAAAACATTAATTTACAAGATATTAATGTTGCAATTTGTCGAAATTTTCAGGTAGGCAAATGATTTGAATAAATCGGCATATCTACCTCAAACTTTCTCTTCATTCTTAACTTCCCTTAAATAATCCTTTTCGCACGCAATCTAATAACACTCTTTAACACTCTTAAGTATGCAAATTCAGAATGTCGACGTTATAAACTTCTACATAATCATATTAATTAGATGTAGTAATTCGTCACATTAATTAATTGAACTAAATCGAAATTCACGATGATTTGTGCGAAGAGAGATGTGAAGGAAAAGGAGTATCGTGCCTATAGATTACATTTGATTTTCAGAATCACCCCCACCCAAATTGAAAATCAGGGTTGCTTCCCCTTCCGAGTTGCAAGTACACGCGCGCGCGTTACTGATAAGCCGGCTTCCTTTGATTTTCTGGAGTAGGACCGGCGTGCCGCTGCACCGGCCAGAAAACCTCGCGTGCGCCGCACCCTTGTGTCGTTGGCGTCGCGACGCTTTGCAACGCGACGAAACGCAAGGATGCATCGTCGCAGGTGTGCGAGTTTTCAGGTAATTCAACGAAACGTTATACCTCGAGTATTAATTGAGTTCCGTTTTGCCCCTCGTAATCGTCGACTACAAACGTCACAGTGATCGCGATGTTTACATGGTGTTTACAACGAGCGTGAAATGGCTCCGTTAAATATCTCTGGTGCTTGCAAATTGTTTTCGAGAATCATCGAGATTCTGATCTGTTATAAATTTCGAAATGGTAAACGAACGAGTTGCTTGAAAGGCGTTTGGACGAAATTTCAATTTCACTATTTTGATCAGATTGATCCGATTGATTAACCACGTGCAGTTTTAATAACTGTATATCATTCGAGAGGTTTGAACGTTTATAACGTTTCTACAGCAAAAAGTTAACGCTACTCCTCTGATTGATTATGTATATATAAGTTACATCCTTGAAACATTGGAGGACTGTAGAAAATAAACAAAAGTTTAAATAAATAAGAAAATCTAGTTTCTGAGTTAGTTTCAAGGATACATTACTTCAATATAGAAACTTTATTGTGAACTTCATTTTATATTTCATTTAAAATTTTTATTTAAAATTGTACGTAAAATTAATCCACTGTTTATAATTTACAATTCTTGTGTGAACTAAAACTAACGTATGTAATATTAATAGCAAGAGAATTGTAATCACAAGATTCTTTTAACTTTCGGAGGTAAGCCATCACTCATGTTGATATGTTATGTGTATCATACATCCGTCACTGATACATGCTATAATTTGTTAATTATTGGGGGAGATGAGAGGGGGCATATCGTAATTTTATTATTTTATTTAATTTTTTGTTAGTACTGATCACATTACATACGTGGGATTGACTGTAGCATATATTGTAACCACCCCTTGTACAGCAGAGTCTCGTGCGATCGATCGAACGACACGACGCACTCCTGGAAAAGTACCCGTCTTCTTCAATCACCCTATATATAATTGGTTGCATTACGAATTCTAAAAATTAATCTACAAGATTTGATATCACCTTTCGAATCTCTCTATGCATTTGAGAAATTTTTCGTTTTCTACTAACACTATATATACAGATTCATGTAAGAGAGGATCTTTTTATATTTTCCTTAAAGAGCGATTAAAAATGTTCAATTTGTTGTTTTTTAAATTCAACAATTGATGCGTTATGATCATACTGCAATTATGTGATAGATAATACGTAATCATGATCTTGAAATTTTTAATTATAAAGAATCTGTAACTCATCCGTACTTTCGTAATTTGGATATTTTCTCTCTTGTGTAAATTGAAATTCGTGCGACGCGTTTTATATTTCTAATTAAAAAATTCAAACTTCACAGGGTCCATTTTTTTTCACCTTAATCCTTTGATTTAAATAGCCATCTGTCTTACTAATTAAGTAAACAGTTGTGAGTCTTGAAGATGTCCATCAAACAAAAAAAAAAAAAGAAAAAATAACGTCACCCTTTGCTTCGCTCTTTAAGGACTTCGTCGCTCTCATCTTTTTCACCTTCCCCTTCTTATCCACCCCTGTCACACGCAAGCTCTGTCTACTTGCCAGCAACTGCAGCTGCGCGAGTTCTTGCACAGGAGTAGGTGCACACCCTTCCGCAGCTGCAGTTGGCAGTATGCTACTCGGATTGTAAATTCGATGTTGCTTGCAAATCTGACAACGATTTCAATTCCATCGAGTTTTTACTTGAAAGTGCATCCCGACACGATTTGTTTATTATCGTTGTCTCATATCAGTTTTTGATAAATGTATATATGCATATTTATAAGATTGAACTTTCTTCGATAAAAATTCTCGGAAGGGATGCTTAATCGTTATGAGGGTGCTTAATTGCGACGATTGATGGGTTAAAAGTGAAAGTGATGTAAGTTGTCACATCTATCGCTTTGACTTATCATATTACTGACGTATTGTTGCAATATGAAATTATTACATTACAATTTACAGTGAGTTATTATACAGTTCTTTGTATCGACTTGAGAACAATATGCAAATTAACTCTTCGGCTATATGACTGTTATGGATTGATTTCACACTTATTTTCTGTCAATTTATAGACATTCATAATATTATATTATATTGATATTTTTTATTAAATCTATACCTGATTAGTAAAACAATTTGCTTAAATTTTCTATAATTTTGTACACCATTCTATATATAATTATTTCTATATATAATTATTTCAATTCCCACTATATTTATTATAATTTCAGATGATAAAGGCTGGAATAAAACTAGTATTACATTTATCATACAATTTTTGAAGCCTGTTGATTGAATACAGGATAGAAATATTCAACTTCTCTTTCCTACAGCCAATTAATACGCTTGAAAAATTTGTTGTAATGAAATATTATCTTAATGATACATATGTCGTCCGAAGATGTATTAAGATAGCATTATATTTTAAATGAAAAATTACACGATGTTGTAATTATTTACATCACGTATATTTATATTTACAGACGAATTATGATACACGTGTCGTCCGAAAGCGCGTACAGATATGATCGGGTGAAACGCAAAGGAACGGCTTTCTTAACGAATCTGTTTAAATCGAAAAAACTGGCGGTAGGGATGAAGATTAACGAAGACGAAGAGATGGAACGAACGCCCAGGGTGGAGACTCCTGGTAAGATATACCGCTGATCTTTTATAAAATATTTTAACTTTAATTTCTTAGCTTGAAAATATCTCTAAATATTTCTTTAGTAAATATTTAGAAAATCTTTAGAAAATCTGTGGAGTCTTTTGGTTTCTTATCGGTTATTAATTTATTATCATTATTATTTATTAAACTAAAATTGAAGGTGTTAAAAAAATACATTTTTTTGGACAAAAAATTCTAATAAAAAATGCAATAGTTCTTAAACATTGATATCTTGTTAAAGAGTTTTAATATAGGAATTAAATAAGTATTTCATGATATTTACCTCTTCACACGCAACTTATTAATTAAAATTGTAAAAGGTTAATTAATGACATTTACTTCGAAGGTCGCTTATATTATTTCAATTTGTTTCTTTAAATGTAATTAGCAAGATGAAAATCTACCTAATAAATTATGCGCAATCGCGAACGTTCCATCTACTCAATTAATAATATTTCAGATAATAAATTATATACATTCATTGTGAGATATATATTTTTATATCGAGTTAATGAAGGCATTTGCATACATGATCGATATTACAAGCAATATTGCTTACAGCAATTATTACCAATGCTTATCGTCGAAACGGCTCGGAGAATGACAGCACGATGTCGCGAATTCCGTCAACCTTGAGTGTGACAGCAGTGGACGTCGTTGTCTCCTGTCAGCCGTCACCCTCGCACTCAATTCTGACCCTGACACCCGGTAGAACGCGTAACATTGATCAGGACATGGAGGCACTCAGGCTGAGTCGTCAGGACAATCCCTTTCTACAGGTTCGGCCTGATCATTACGTTGCCTCAAAAAAGATTTTTATGAAATCTTTCAATCCTGAACAATTTGCGAATTGCTGAAATTCTAAATGATTCAAAACTTTGCAACATTACTTTACTCTAATTTTGAAAAATGTATATTCTTGATTTCTACAAAATGCAGTGTTTTAGAATTTAAAAATTTAATACATAAAAAAATTTGAATTTCTTTGGTTAATTTTTGTGATTGACTGTTTAAATTTTTTCCAACTGTAGAAAGAAAATTGAATTGCTAATGAACTTCTTTTATTTCTTAATAGTCCTTTACACGATTTTGCTGTGTAATATATATTGATGTAATTGTGCAAATTTTCTCTAATTATGTACAGGTATTAGCAAGCCGAGAGAGCCTCGTGGAATCGATCGAGGAGTCCGAGTCCGACGATGCAATTCTAATGTCGCAGGTGAGATCTCGCATTAAACTTTTGCGAATTTAACAAAATATTATAGATCCATTTCTACATACACTATAATAATAGTTTTTTTAATTACCATAACTTTTAGAGATAAAAGTAAATTTTTTTATAACTGCTCCAAATGAAATAATCTCCAAAGTAAATAATATTATCAATTTTTCAGAATTATTAATTTTTATGTGTGCACATATATATTAGTTAAAATATTCCTTCAATAATCTTCGAAAGTTATAATAGAAAAATTATTGTATGTTTTGTAGTTACAATTTAAAAGCAGAATTTAAATAAAAATAAATTATTGAATAATTTATATGTATAATTGTTTGAGTATAAAAATTTATTAAAAACGAATCAATTTTTCTGAAAAAAAGAGAAAGCATTTAGAGAGAGAATTTATACTCTTTTTGAAAGAAACATTTTCTACTTCTTTTTAAACGTATATAAAAAGATATATATTTTCAGGAATACGGTGACGCGGATCCGCTAACACTAGCACAGGTACATGAGCACCTGGTACGCAGTCCACCCCCGGCTTCATGGCCCAATTCCACGGCCTTCCAGTTTCCCAATCAGGATGAAAGTACCACCCCAGGCAAGAATGATGCGACACTTCTAGTCAAGAGCCCGTCAAAGACACCCTCGCATCGTGGTAACGACCATGAGCTCTCTAGAAGCGAGACGACGACTGATATTAGAGGTGAGGATTTTAACGAGGATATTTAGGATATATAATGCACATTCACTTTAAGAATAATTTGTGTTAAGGAAAACTATGGCTAAATTAAATTAAAAATTAATAGAAATTTGTTACTCGAATATTTGTTTAACTAAAATGTTTGCTTTTTCTTTAAATTAATATTTTTGTAATATAATTATGAATCACATATTATTTTATATAAAATTATTATTCAATATCAGTTGATTAAAAGTAAGAGAATTTTACGATAAAAAGATATTAAGAACATAACATGTTAACTCACTTAAAAAAACTCAAATTGAAAAATTAAATGAAACTAACTTTTAATAGTTAATAAAAAATTAAAAGACTTCTGGATGGAAAATTACATTTTATTTATTTATACATATATTTATAACTAGAAAATTTGTTTCTTTCTTTCTTTTAATAATATTTGAGATGATCATATGGGAAAAAATGTTTCACATATATAATTAAATATAATTATATAAAATTATATATAATTATATATATGTATAATATGTCCATTATATAACATTTTTTCCCGGGCATAAATCATATAAGAAGACAATATGAAAATGATATTGATTAATCAAATCGAAGAGAGAGATGGGAGTATTTGCATGTCTAAGTGAAATTATGCCGACATGATATTGTGAAAATATAGATCAGAGTTTCAGCAAATCGATTCATGAGAGGCACTTACGTCCAACCTTGACATTGCACTGTAGACTTTAGACAAGCGCGATATCTTTTTCTCTCTCTTCCCCCCACACACACACACCCACACACACACACCCCCACACACACACACCCACACACACACACACATACACACACACACACAAACACACACACACACATACACACACACACACAAACACACACACACACACGCACACACACACACACCCACACACACACCCACACACACACACACACATACGTATACAAATGTATATATACTGCCTCTTTCCACTTTTACCTGATTAAATTAAGGTTCCTGAAAGTAGGCGATCGCCGGAAGTTGTAGCTTTCTACTCTGCTGATAAAATCTAATCAATAAAGGAATATATGATAATATATTAGGTGTTGGAATTAATTCGTAGCGTTTTACAAGTGATGGGAAGTACTTTCATTAATGTATTTTTTAATGCTCATGTGAAATAAATAACATTCTTTCATTAAAAACGCTACGAATTAATTCCAACACCTAATATGTATAACTACATATATTGATTATTTATAAATAATATATAATTACATAATTACATATAAATTATAAACATTATAAACATGAATTAAATAGATAATAATAAATAACTGTATAACTGTCTAAATTCTTTGAAGTAAAAACTTACTCTAACAGAGTAAAAATTCAACTTTCATAATTCAGTCTTAAAAGAATGGTTGAATTTTCAATTTTTGAAAGTGAGAGAAATTTCACTCTTCAGAGTGAAATTCACTCTAAAAGTTTTAGAGAGTATCTATGTGTGTATTATATTATATTTTACATCATATATAAATTATTCTATAAATAAAAAATTATCTGTATAATGATTCAATACATTTGAAATACTTCGAATTATTTCCATATGCTATCTTTTTATCTTAGATCGGCATTCTCATCCCTTCTCGTTATTACACCCGACACCGATTCGTTCTTTGTCGGAAGTTCGACGACTTCGATCGGCCGACGACAGCGTGCAGCTTATGTCGAACGAATAAACTGTACAAGGATACTGGATCCTAATTGGATTTCTGTCGACTGAAAAATATCGGTTCCTCGAATATTCTTCGAGAACTGCGATTGCTGACAAATTGAAGAAAATTTCGTTCGTGTAAACGAAATTTATGATCAATTCTAAATAAGGTTTGTCCTAATTAAGAAGATGGATACAAGAAAAATGAAGAATCAAGATTCTTACGTATGTATCCATTAGTTGATCAGATTGAAGCTATGATGCGTTTGAGGTGGATGTGATAAAAAATTACAGAGCGAGTAATGATACGATTAATCGTACAGTGATTAATAATTTTTATTGAGAAAGTAATTATTGAAAAAGAAGGCGCATGTTGGAAAAATAACGATTTCATCGTTTTGAATTTTGATAGTTTATCAAATGAAATATTTTTTTCTATAAACCAAAAATTGTTTTCCAAAATCTTTATAAAATATATAACTTTAATCTTTATCAATTGATCTAAATGATTCTAATTATTTGATGTTAATCATTTTTTTATAAGTCATTTATAGTTATGATCGCGTATTTTAATGGGCCTATTTTTTTTAACAAAAAACTATTCAATAAACGATCGGAGTACTGCATCGACGTTTTCCGATTATTTTATTTTATTTTATTTTTATTTTAGATATTAAATATCACATTAATATATTGTGTTCTTTTTATTTTTATTTACAGTTGTTTAAATAATTAACATCAATTACTTATATTTGGTTTATACAGGGTGATTTTAACATATTTTGTCACCCATCATGAGCAGGTAGAGTGAGTCGAAAAGTCATAGAACTCTAAAAATTTTTTCAGAATTTTTTATCAACTTTTTAGTACTACATTTTCTTATTTTTATCAATATGAGGAAATACAGTATTAAAAAATTCTGAAAAAATTCTCAGAACTTTATGAGAAGAAAATAAATGATTTTTGTCTCTTGCAGTTTTCTATAAAGTTGAGATAGTATTTGAGTAAAAAATTATTCAAGATCAATATTTGGCAATTTTTAGTAATTAATATTTTGTTAACTATTGCGAAAATTGCAAAATGATAGAGGACTTTTCGACTCAGTTCGATTGCTCTGCCTGCTCATGATGGATGACGAAATATGTCAAAATCACCCTGTATAAACCAAGTATTCTCCGGAATAAGTATTCATTTTTTAGCTTTTTGAGAATACGCCAAATTGAGGAGTAACAGCTAAAAGATGATACAGAACGACTTATATATACTAGTTTGCGGATTCTAAGAATTGCACTATTATATAATAATTATCAGACTAACGCGAATATTATCTCTGCTAAATCATCAGCTGAGATTATTAGATATATTATATTTAACGTATCATATTTTAATGCTTTAAATTTATATAATTTGGATGCAATTATATATTTAAACTTTGTCTTTCGAAGAGTAATATACCGTTATGTAATAGTCGTTACGTAACAGTAACGTTAAAGCACAAGGCTTTAAATAATTATTGAATTATTACTCATTACGATATTATCAGAATTTGTTGTTATTACGATAGTTATTGTTGAGGCACTGTAATTATTCGTGCAATTTAGATGTTTATTTTATGTAGTTTAGAAATATTTCACATTTTCTTGTAATTTTTTCTACTATATTAATATTAATTGAATATTAATTGATAAATCTCGATTGTTATTATGCTAACAGAAATATTTTTATTATATGTATATATATATATATATATATATATATATCAAAATACACTTTTAACGACGATTTCAAAAGAAATAATTTAACTAACGCACACACGTAAAAATTAATTGATAATTCCAAGAAAAATAATATTAACTATGATGCGCCAAATGTACAGAGGCCTCAATGCAACAATTTTCCTCAAATTAGATAAATAAACGACTACTCGTAAGATCTTTTTTATAGGGCAAAACATCAGATTTATCGATAACGATTTACTTCCGACGTTGAAAGTAATATTTCTTTTAACGATAAAAACAATTGTCAATGAATTCTCAACGAAATCAGAAATCACCCGTTTGTTCAATTCTCTTTTTGGAATAACAATTTTTTGTAGACAATGTTAAGAGAGCACAAAGAATCTGACGTGCTCTTCTACCAATTTTGTAAGTGTTATTATTATAAATTATATAAAACGATAAATCTTATATAAAAATAAAATATTAAGTAAAAATTAATTAAAGTTCTTGTATAAATCGTTTCACGTAAAACCGTCAATTAACTTTGCGGATCTTGAACATTAAATGTTATATCTATTGACATATTTATTGTTCTAAAAATTAAATTAATCCAATTCATTTACATAAATTGTTATAAAGAAAAGTAGAGCATCTAATTTTTTAAATAATTTAAATATTTTTTTATTTTTAATGTTTCCTATAAGTCATCAATTGCATACTAAGATTTTATTTCTAATTTATCATTAAAATTAGAGCACGTCAGTTTCTTTTACATATTTTTTACAAATTTCTTGAAAAATCTTTGATAGTTTTCTGATAAGTTTAATAGATACATGGGTGGCCAACCGAACGCAGTAGAATCTATATTTATCACACAGACATAATGCTATTAAAATACTAAAATACTAACAATTAAAATTTATACATATTCATGTATTCATCTCATCCAATGTATAAAAATCATATAAATCAATCGTTAGGACAAATCCAAACTCATTAATGTAAAGTAATATTATATTAAAAATAGGAATGGAATTCTTTACAAAAGTATCTAATAAATATGTATGTCTCGGTTGCGACCACCCAGTTGCGTCAGGAATGATCGGCGCAATTTTAGCAAGGTTTATATACGAATTTTGGGGAAGTACTAATAGTGGAGTAGAAAATTTATTATTATATCAAATTAGAGTCCAATCGACTTGGCTATTGAGAATTGAGATTAATTATATTATAATTGTACTTAGATCTTATAAGCGTTAGAGTCTGAAAGCGTTCGTGCTTTAAAACAAAAGCACAAAAATGCGGTAAGCCGAGAAAAAAAGGAAAAAAAGATAGTATAGAATAGACTTATTTAATCTAATCGAATGTAATATATGAATTCCACGTGAGAAATCCATGGACGTATAACGTGTTCGGAGCAAAAGTGGACAATGGATGGTATCACAATTGTTTCTGAGTAAATATTTATTTATACATATATTCTTTTAAGAAACTATCCTAGTTAGGGCATTTAGTAAATTTTTGTAATCCAGTAACACTTAATATTAATGTTAGTTCCTATTACATTTGTTTGATACTACAGTACAGACCTGGGTTTTTTTTTGCGGATAAATATACATTAACAAGAAATGCTTATTATAATATATCAAGAAACGATTGTGAATATAATCGTATGTTCGGAACTTGCAAAGGTTATTTTGAATATATTATATGTAACCTTAGTAGATTTATAATTCAAATGCGGTTTTCGTTTAAATGCAATTTACAAATCATGGATTTAATCACACATATTTCTTCCTTTAAACAACTAGTGTAATAAAAACATTACTATGCGACATTCTGTATAGAATCAAGGATTCTTAATACTAAAGCAACAAAGAATGACTAGTGTATTGAGGATCTATGGACATTAATCCAATTTGGGATTAATTTAAGAAATTTATATTATCAATAAGTTGATGATACTATAAAAAATTCAACGTATTGGCGACCCAATGATACAAAGAATCCGCAGTATGCAGATTCGAGATAAGCCTTGAGGACAGAAGATTATCATAACGGATTTTTTAATAGCCAAAGTACCGCAAGATAACTTTATCTTACTTGTAACGGCCTACAAACCGTGGCAATGAATACTATAATGACAAATGAATATAAAAAGAACGATTATGTTGAACTATCTAAAAATTTAATAAAATATAGATCTAAAAATAATTATGTTGGATCATCAAAATAATTATTACTTCAATTGAACGCTTAAACTAGTTATTAAAATATCGAAACTTTTTGTAGCATTATATTATCATCGTGCTTTGAACGATTTATATATTAATTTTAATGATCCAACATAATTATTTTTAGAACTGTATTTAATTAAATATGTGGATACTTTCACAAAACTGTTTTTTCTGTGATCATTTTCACCAAATATTTTTACTTCGAGAAACTATAAAGGTTTTAGATACATATCCACAATTTCGTTATAAATACAAGTATTTGTTAAGCTCCAAATAAAAAAAGGAAAAAACTTTCATGTAGATGCACAGCTTAATTTAAAATAATAAGATTGGAATTAAGACCGTTTTATATAAGTATATCACCTAAATATGAGGAGCGCCACTTAACAGTCAAAATTAGATGTTGAACTAATAACGTATTCTTATTTAAATGAATTTATTTCAGAAATATGATTGCGCGCTGTTATTATCGGATTTGGAACGCCAACCGAGATAATATTTTTCGCAATAAGTTTATTATAGGTTTTTAAAATTAAATTTGAGGGGATTTTATTAATGTTTTAGATGAATTACGTTAGAAGTCCGACAGCAACGGTGCGTAGTATTTCTGAAATAAATTCATTTAAATAAAAATAGATATACATATTAATTCAACATCTAACTTTGATCATCAGCGCTTTTCGTATTTAGTTAATTTACAATATTTTGCATTCTATAAAATTTTTATTACATACATAGAATATGAGGTTTCCCATGTAAAGTCTCATAATAATCTGTATAGCCGTATTTTTGATGATAATTAATTAAAAGGATTGTTATCAGTTGAATATTGACATCTGCAGTTATTAAGATTTCATTTATCTTCGCAACTATTATTCATGCTGATTTGTGTACAAAAACTGTATAAGTAATAGGAAAACAAAAAGTGAAAAGCGATCGTAATTGACTAAAATATTTAGAAAATACAATTTGGAAATAAATAGAAACTTATTTAAGATATGTTTGAAAAAAAATATTACAAAATTATGATAATAATAATTATTATTGAATTTTCATTCGCCATCCTTAAATTTTATATGAATATCTCGAATGTATATTTCGTTTTTGCGAGGAAATCAGGAGAGATCGTGGTTATTAATACTATTAGCATACTTGAGCGGGTGTATTAATGAGACATAGAATGTTCACACGCACGAACACACATACATACATTGACACTTGCAAAGTATGCGTTTTGCGGTCGCGCGAGGATCGCGCCGCGATCTCTAAAGATATGTTCGTTGTTTTCAAATAAAAATAAAATATATTTGTGTTACTGTAAATGTAATACTACGTCGTGTAACTCATTGCTCTTCCTATGCCTTTATAATAAATTAATCTTTCCTGATAATTTAGTCATTTTAATAATTTCAATAACATTTAG